GTACGAAGGACTGGAAGCTTGAGTTCTTCACAAAGTCCGGATTTGATGAAACTTCGTTGTGCACCGGAGTCAAGTAGTATCGTTACTGGCTGGTAATCCCACTCTGCCTCGTTGAATATGGTTGCCGAAACAATTTGAAGAACGCATTGATCCTGTGCATGTGGAAGCACTTCGGGATTGTAGAGTTCTTGTCGTGAGCCTTGTACGACGTGCGTAGTACTCTTCTCATGACGATCCTGATTGATGTGACGTGATGACCAAGGAGCAGGTGAATGTTGATCAAGTGCAGGGTCTCGGGATTGCGTCGAGAATCCTCTGCGTTTTCCTGCTTCTGACAAGCAAAGAGATCCATGGTGTGATCCTTTGCATTTGGGACACACACCGAAACTCGTGCAAGCGTTAGAGTTGTGATCGCTTGCAAAACATCTCCAACACACTCCTTGATTTGTTGCTTCAAGTCGTCGGGCTTCTGGTGTGGTGTACCTCTGACAGGTGTGAGCAGAATGTGGTTGTCCACATAAACACAAACGTTTTGGTTTCGGAAAGTGTTCTTCTCTATCGCATCTAGTAGTCCTTTCATTTTCTTGGTTGTTTGGGTGGTAATTGGTTGAAAAGAGAGTTTCCGTTGTTAGCAAGATTGTCTCTCGCAGTGAAATGATGCTGTCGATGGTGTTCAGGATTTCGCTAACATCAAATGAATCATCATTTACCGTTTCTTTCTGGATAGCGGTCGTACAGATGGATTCGGATGGATTCGGGAAATTTGGAAAAGATTATTCGACGCCAAAGTCTGTCTGCGTTCATCTTTGCTCCCGTTTGCTCCAGGTGAATGATCCTTGAGTTGATTGCTTCGAAAGTGTCTCGGCAACTTCTCGGATCATCTGAGGCCCTGGGTAGTTTTTCGATCTCGTTTATAAGTATATCTGCCATGTTCGCAGAGCGATCGAAATGTTTCTTCAAGATATCTATCGCTGTTTGATATCTGTCTCCGATGACGGGTATGCAGCTCAAAGTGGCTGCTGCTTTCCCCTTCAGTGCTTGTTTCAGAAAGAGGAATTTGTCTGTATCCGATAGCTCCTCATCAGTGTGGATGAGAGATTCGAAGACTGTCCAGAAGCTATTAAATTCTCGGAAGTTGCCTGAGAACGTAGGGATTTCCAGAAGAGGTTTCCGAATTTTGATCTGCCTTTTATTAGGTTCTGGAATCCAAGCTTGTCCATTATCACTACTTGGTTGACTCGGTATGCTGGGAGCATCGCAGTGCAGAAGTGCGTCTTGTTCTTTAAGTTCATGCTGCCTGAACTCTATCCTTGTCCGCCACTGCACTACAATCACTTCCAGGTCAAGTGACTCCATCTCTAGGTGCTTGCTGAGCTCCATCATCAGTTTGTCTCTTTCTTTTTCCTCATTTCGTGCGCTAATGTACTCAATCGCGGAGTTGATTTGCGTCTCTTGAAGCTTCACTGCGTTGTGTAGAGAGTTGAGAAGATTGGTTATCAGTCCCGTTTTCTCTTTTATGTACTGTTCACATTCTTCTTTCAGTGTGGGGAATGTGAAGGGGACATCAATATTTTCGATTTGTGACTCGTGGGATTTCACGAGTTTGCAGGCGTTGTTAATCCTGATCTTGAAAAGCTGGAGCGATGCCATTTTCTTTTCTGCTGCACTGGGTAGAGTCGTGCGCTGGTGTGGTAATTCCAAGCGTTACAATTTGGAAGTGTGTATCCTCTTTATGTTGATCGCTTTGGCTTGAGGGCGACAGCAGGGCTGGCCTCGATACGATAGCTGTCCTTACTGGTTGCAAGGAAGCTTTCTAGTGAGCTGGCAAGTGGGTGCCGAGCGTCTACTAGCTGTCAGCAAGCGCGCCTGGTTGGCTTGTACGCTGTACTGGACGGTAAGGTGTTGGAACCTGTCCCGTGAATGTAACGATCCAAAGCTCAAGATCGGTGAACCAATCGTGAATGAGCTTGGAAAGTTGAGATTTCTTTGCTAACTGTGGATGGACCAGTCAGTCAGCTAGAAAATCTCCTTGCTAAGCTATGGATATGACCTGATAGCTTCGCAAGATGAAACTCGTTGTGAAAGTGGATGAACCAGCAATCACAGAGTGTTTTTGGCTACGGAAGCCAAAAAAGTTCGAGGATTTCTGTTGCTAACTGTGGATGGACCAGTCAGTCAGCTAGAAACCTCTTTGCTAAGCTATGGATGTGACCTGATAGCTTCGCAAGGTGAAACTCGTTTGTGAAAGTGGATGAACCAGCAATCACAGAGTGTTTTTGGCTACGGAAGCCAAAAAAGTTCGAGGATTTCTGTTGCTAACTGTGGATGAACCAGTCAGTCAGCTAGAAAAACCTCTTTGCTAGGCTATGGATATGACCTGATAGCTTCGCAAGATGAAACTCGTTGTGAAAGTGGATGAACCAACAATCAAAGAGTGTTTTTTGGCTAATGGAAGCCAAAAAGTCGAGGAGTTCTTTTACTAACTGTGGATGAACCAGTCAATTAGTTAGAAAACCTCTGCTAAGCTATGGATAGGATCTGATAGCTTAGCAAGACTCGTATTAGTAAAAGTGGATGAACCAGCAATTACTAGAGTCGAATATTGGCTAATTAGTAGCCTAGAGTGCGAGGAGTCTGTCGCTAACTGTGGATGAACCAGTCAGTCAGCTAGAAACCTCTACTAAGCTGTGGATAGGACCTGACAGCTTAGTAAGACTCTTGGTCGCGAAAGTGGATGAACCAGCAATCACGAGAGTCGAATAGTTGGCAATAGAGCTTGCCACGCGGGTCTTAGGCCTTGATTTCCTGGGTCCTTAGAAGGAATCGCCGAGGAAATACAAGGAAAATCACTGGCCGATGCACCAATTTGGTGGGTACCAAGTGATTAGGGGTAGACGAGGTTGTGGAATATAGATTTATTCGCACGGGCGTAGAATTAGTCGTGAAGAAGAGTGTGAGGTGTCCCGGTGTGGACCGGGGAGCAACTTCTAATACATTCGGAGGCTCCTTATATAGGAAGGAAGGCGGAGCTGAACCGAGTAAAAGGTACAATGTACATGAGTTGGTGCTTGAAAGGAGGTGCCGCCGATTGGCTACACTCCTGGCGCACGGGTACCACTCACTCTTGAGTGATTAGATACTCAAGAGTGAGTAGCTCACAATTTAGCCTACGGGTATTCCGTAGGCTATCTAGAATATAGAGTTCATCAATGGTTGATGATACAGAAATCATCAACAACTGCGGAGTACGCGCCGCGAGGTAAAACGCTTGCTCCAGTACAAATCCGCCGATGTAAAAGTCGTGCTCTTGCGACAATTCAGCCGCGCTGCGCGTGGTCCGCACCGTTTGAGCAGTCCGTGCGGTAAGCGAATCGATACTAGATCTCGCTTGCTGACAGCTTCGATATTCGATGATTTGTTGAGACTTATCAAAGATTCTCGCTTCAGTACGACGTTGTGTGCTCAACAACATTATTGGTAGTGGAACAAGTAGCTTTTCTAGTTAGAGATGGGTGAGAATACTGCTCAAGACAGCTTACCAGTACTACTCAAAAGATGTTCCTTCAGTGACCAATACCCATGGTCAAGGGTAAAATTAGGCGCGCCCTACCCGGGAGGTCGTATATGAGAGTGGGTAGGGAAGGTCTCATCAAGAACCAAATTTATCTTACAAGAGGCTAATTAGTAGATGTCATAGCCACCCCCCTTCCCTCCCCTGGCACAACTACCTGGACGACCCCTTCTTCCTCATTCCTCCTTCGTAGTCTCATGATGTCCACTCTAGAAAAAAGCCTGTGGTGGCGAATTTCTGATTTTTGAGGTGCGCTGTTCTTCTGCAGTAGCCAACTAACACCTCAAAAACAGTATAACTAACCGTGAATCTCCTCCTAGGTATAAGTTTTTTCAAGAGCCATAATCTCGTTAAAGAAGCGTTCCAAATTACTATTATAGCACGAACACACTTTAGTCATTGTTAACACAAACCCCATCGAACACGCATTAGGTACATGAGCTTATTTCGACCTGCTTTGGCTTTGTAGCCATGGATCTAAAGCATTCACGATGAAAAATGCGGTGGTTGAAGCTTTGTGAACACTTTTAAAATCATTTGGGAACGATGTGAAGTGAGAGTCCTAGCATAGATTAGTAAAGGTCACTGCTTTGTTACAAGTATGAAATGGCGCGCTTCTTGTTCTTGGAATTAACTTAATCATGTTTGAAAACGCTTTTCAGATGCTGAGAAGTACTGGAAGTTGTAGCAGGTGATTGCTTTTGGAGCTCATAGATGTAATTTGACGTGCTGAGTATGGACATCACACTTTACATGGTGAAGCCTTGTTGGTAGCTTACGGTAGTACGATAGGGAGTTAAGGTTTTGGAATTGACTGACATTGTTAATAGAGCTATTAGGTATGCTATGCACATCCGTATTCAATCTTTGCAATAAACAATGTCTGGTGAGGATAAGCCTCACCTTGCCCAAGTTAGTATTGTCTCATATTAGAAAATTTGCTTTTTGATTACGCGCCCTTCCCCCTATCCAATACGACCCACTAGGTCGGGCACGCCTAAACCCCCCGCTCAATCCTGTCTATAGATTTAGCTCATATCGTCGTAAGGCTCACTTTTATAAAAGGACTTGCATATGATCTCGAAAACCATTGTCCGAGAATACATCCCTACTATACTCGCTCTCCGCTCTCTGGTATGGGGTGTACGCAGCAAGATTGAGCCGGCCTCATTATTTCCCTCACTTGTCATCACTACAGCACTAAATTCTCCTCAAAACGTTGACGTAAAACTGATGGATGGTTTGCATGCACTCTTAGTGCTTGTCAACATAAATGCGCTTGTCATGGGTTTATGCGAAACGATGCTGCATCTTTTATGCGTGGAAAGTCGTAAAACAGCAGCTTGCCACTGTCGCCCACGTTTCGTCCAGCACTATGTAGCTTTCAATGCGGCGGGGGGGGGGGGGGAGACTCGAGAAAGATGTGGACCTGGCTTTAACGTCCTTAGGTCCGGCGATCAGCAAGAAACGATCGTCTCGTCGCGGATCTAGCACTTCGAGCTTCAATGATGACACATCGAAGTCGACAAAGTGCAGTTTCTGAAAAGGAAAACTTCAAGTTTTTGTAGCTTGCAAAAGAATTACCAAGTTATAATGTGTATGTGATGGTAGGATTTCCTAGCATAGAACTCATTTAGTGTGTATGCGCAAGAATTATGTATACGCAGTATGTAATAGGTCATTCCAAAAGTAACTTCGCTTTTTTCAATGGGCGCCACATTTGATGGAATGAAGATTTCTAAGAGATCCTGGTAGCATTCGAACCATCTTCCATCTAAGGGGTATGAAAATGTTGCAGCACAATTAATGAGCTTTCAGAAAATAACCAAAATCGACCCATGCAATTTGAGATGGTCAAGTTTCACAATTTTTTCAAACTTTTATACGACCATCCGAAGAAGCAAAAGCAACGCATCTATAAAGCAAATCCTACAGGAGGCAAAACAATTTTTTTTCTCCTTTTTACAGCTTGTCTACTTTTTTAACAGAATTTCGACTGCAACATTTTCATAAAGCTTAGAGAATCGAATCCGTAAACTCTCATTCGCTTTTTAAAATTAGTGCTAAATCATAGTATTATCTTGATAGTCTCAAATTCCGAATAACGACTGATGTTCGATGCGACTGTGGCTGGCGTAAGCCTGCCAAAATCCGGTGGTTTTGATCAAAAATCTTTTGAAAATCATGGCGAGCTATGAAAAAGAGAAAAAAGTTGTGCTGTATCCTATAAGGTCTGCTCTGTCGAATCGTTACTTGGTCTCCTTTGGAGGCTTGACATAAAAATTTGGAAAAATTGTGAAACTAAACCATCTCAAAAAGCATTGGTCGCAGATTTCTGTTATTTTCTGAAAGCTCATTGATTGCGCTGCAACATTTTCATAAAGCTTAGAGAGAGGATGAAATGCTGTTTCGAATGCTACCAAGATCTTAAAATTATTCATTCCATCAAATCTGGCGCCCCTTTGAAAAAAGCGAAATTACTTTTGGAATGACCTAATACATGCGATTCATGAAAACGTGAATCTAGGTGAATGGAGGGTGTGACCCACCTAAAAAGCCATCTGAGCTGCCACCAACATCAGCAGCGTGATTTTTCCCTTATATTACATACCAAAGATTTTCGAATTTATCGTACAAAATTTGAGGTACATAATCGTAATTAGTGCTTTCCATCGTTATTTGCTTATCAGTGCAGAAGGAGGAAACGATAAGAATTGGAGCTTGCAATTCAAACAAAACTGAGGTTTTTGGCTTTCAAACACACTAGTGTATATTGAAAAGACACTGATACAACAAGGTAGATGAAATTCTTCTATGATTATGAAGGCAGTCATATCAATGCCGCACTTCCGACGCAAAAAAGTATTGCGCCTTGCGACACACGAAAAAATCGACTTTTTCTATGATCGAATGCAAGCAGTGCTGAATCCAGATTTAAAAACGAAAATCAAAAAGAGTAGCTTTATAGAATGTTAATTCATTGCGGCATTCTGACGCAACATCGCGTTCGCTGTGCGCACAGAAAAAAATTACGACTTTTTCAATTTTCAAGCATACTATCAAATAACATCGCGTCCAGGTCGCTGTAAAACAAAAAAATTGTAAACTTTCTAAGGTTTGAACATACTGTCACATGCATCAGACAGTGCTGCTTACAATTACTCAAATCAGAGCTCGATAGTAATCTGAAAAAGTTATAGCACTGCGATTCCGGCATTGCGTTAAACATTTTTGAAACGCGGCACAGGTGCTGTAGCTACAAAGAATCTTAAAACATATGTGAATCTATGTGAATGAAATATGTGATCCACCTAGAAAGTTACCTGAGCTGCTAGCGACAAAATAGGTTTCTTTTGCCTTTTTAAATAAGAACTTGCAAAATTTAGATGCCCTCCCATGCCAAGGTCTGATATTGAACTTAGAATCAATACGAATATTCAATTTTTCCAGCATGCGTTAGATCAACACCATCTTAGCGTGAGTGTAATATGGCCAACCTTCTTTTTTGTCATGAAATCTTACAAGGGCACTTATACTGAAGAAGTTCAGCAACGCGCGCTGTAATATAAATCAGTACTAACTTTATAAAGCTTCTGCAATCCCAAGGGTACGGACGTACAATGTTCATAAACTAACATTACATAAATCTATAATACACAGCTTTCAATTATATTCATTTAGGTTCTCAATCTGAACGTCAGAGCTGCAATGTTTCGAGCCTTCACGGCCACCTCGCAGCACCTTGCGCCGCGTTCGCATAGTATCTCTGGGTACTTTCCGACGCCCCAGAAGTTCTCAGTCACTGTAAAAATGCGGGATATGCTCAGACAGGTGGGGGGGGGGGGGGGGAGGGGGGAGGGGGCGTCCCCCTCCACCCGAGGATGTGTCGCGAATTTTTCGAAAGTTACTTACTTGGGTCATGAATGTGCAAGTGACTTGTTTGTTCTCCTAAATAAAAATTCAAACTAGCTTCATAAGGAAAAAATTTTTCGGGAGCGTGGCTGCCGCCTTTTCTCTAGATTTTAAGGTTATGGGCCCGCAAAAACTTTGAGAACCATTCCAAAAATCTTGGAGTGGATGGCTAACGCCACGCTCTTCAACTGAAAAGTTTTTTTACACCCTTCCTCGGACGCGAATACTGGGACCGCCACTGTACTCACGGATAATTCGTGGACGCGGCGCAAGAAAAGAACGATGAGGAACAAACCGTGAAGGAACAAACCGCTCGAGCTCTGACCACATCGAGACGGCCTGTATATTTTTGTTTATTACATTACTCAGGCGTGATCTGCCAAAAATTTCACTACATAATTAGGAAAGGTTGGACAGTAAATACATAATACGGAAGTGCGTTCAGCTTTATTTTCATGCGGCTAGGACTGTGGTCGTTTATTGCTGTTCAAGTGAGAAACTAATACTACGTGCCTGCTTGCTGTATAGGTTTTCATGTATAAGAGCTTATATACATTCAGGCTCTAAAGAGGATGCTGATTGAATGATATTACTATTTCTGTCGTTTTTGCATAGTCTGCTTTGACTGAAAAAGGAGAAGAATTGTTGAATACTTGACTTCTGTCATAATGCTCGCATCACTAATGTGAAGAAACGTTCCAAAATGGAAATAGCATGAGTGACCGGTAAGGAAAACGTATTCAGGCGTAAAGAGAGCGACGAAAGCTATATGAGCTTCCAAGATTCAATCAGGAGACAGGAGTAGTTTTCTACAAACACGTGGGAAAACAAAGTAATGAAGGAATGGTATGGATGCTCCACAAGAATACGAGAAATAATGCAAACAAGCAATGAAATAAAATGTTGTTATTAGTTTACGAGAGTTATTCAGACAGAGCTTATCAAAATGTGGAGATACATAAGTAAATCTGTTATTTCGACAATAATTCATATATGTTTCCTTGTTGGTAACTGGAATTAGCCATGAATTGATAATATTATCACAAGAACAAGCACCAGCTAGAAGCAAATAACCGTGGAAAGCAGCTAAGTATTTTTTATTTAATCCGCCAAAGCCCAGATGATCGAAAATCTCTCAGGATCAAGTTAAGCGTCAAAGAAGAAGAACTAATATTGGCAAGCATGGCAGCTAATTTTTTGCGGATTTCAAATGAAGCACTAATTTATTAATGATAAGCAGGAAGACCTAGCCGGTATTGTTGAACTCATTTTGTGGCTTAATCAAATAATCAAGAAGTCAATCTTACAACAAAATTGAAAATGATACGATATACATATACTTTTACAACATATTTCGAAAATTTTTCTAGAAGTGCCACTCCGAAGAAAAGTCGAAAACTGACCTGGTTGTCTTTCAGCTGTTCGAGAAGATCCTTCTCGACGCTGTCGCGAAGGTACTGCGTTAGAGATGATTTACCTAAAGGATACTTTATATTTTCTTAAACTATATGAATCGATTTGTGATATAAGACAATCAGAAATCAGTTCAGTGCGAATAGGATACGCCAATAAAATGAACACATTTATCTTTTGGCCACAAAAAAGACTGCTTGTACTTCAGGCTGCCAAAACTGGCGCATACCAGTTTTGGCAGCCTGAAGTTCAAGCACTCTTTTGCTGCGCTGCAACGGAGGCAGCGCCGTGTCAACGCCGTGCCAGCGCCCAAGTATACGTGCCCCTTGATCGATCGGCGCTTGCACGGGTTAGCTCGGCCCTGACTCTGTTTATCAGGAGTGCATTCGTTCGTTGACTAGGTAATTCTTGTCGTCTGAAATTTCATCCCTACACCTGACAGAGAAAACACATGATTGAGTTCATGACGAGCCCTTTTTCTCCGACGATGAAAAAGTTATGACGAATTTTCGAACTTCGCGTGATGAATTGAGAAATTTTAATTGAACTAAAAAGTGCAAAGCAACCTTCCTACACGAGTTAAGGGCACCGTCCACTCAAATTGGAGTCAATGAGATTTTGATGCCTAACGGTGGCGGGGTCCCCAACTGTATACCTGCCCAACTCATGTTGCCAAAAGTTGCTTCGAAGCGAGAAAATTGCCTCAAAAGTCGCTTCGGATGACGGACTCGCCACGTTGGCTCCTCCCCTTTGTTTGGCTCGTCCCCATCCGTACCACCCAACCAATCACCGTTTCGGAGAATCGCCCTGCGGGTTCTGCGGAACGGGGATTGCCAGGGCTATTGCAGATTTACGACTTGACATTCGGAATCAGGGACATGAGAAAGAACGACAAAAACATGGGAGTCGAGAATCTGGGTGTACGGTGCCTTTAGAGGCAGTGGCTGAGGAAATTGCAACTACGCGCTTTCTGTTCTTCCTTAGCCTTCAGGATGCGTTTAGTCCAGAGCTGTGCTTGAAAAGTCAAAAAAGTGCTTTTTGTGGCGTTCTCAGGCCTTGGAGATTGCCGAGGAGGCTGGAGCGAAGATTTCCGCAACCGAGTCGCGATTGGCTGCCCGGGCGAATCAGCCAATTGCCGCCAAAATGAGTGGTATTACAGTCTCCTGCAGCCAGTCACTGTTTTCGGCGAGAATGTCAGCTCCAGCCTCCTTGGCAATCAAGGCCGGAGAACGCCATAAAAAGCATTTTTTTGACTTTCCAAGCGCAACTCTGGTCTATACGCATCCAGAAAGTCAAGGAGGAACAAAAGCGTGCAGTTGCAATTACCCCAGCCACTGCCTTTATGCAGTTGTTAAATTAACTTTTCCTTACTTGTGAACGATTGTAATATTTTTTGTAATCAGGGCTCGGCACAGGTGGCTTACAAGCAATCTGGATATCGTTTTTGGGAGGAAAAACAAAGGGGGCTTCGTTTTTGTGACCGAAGAGAGACGCAAAATTGGCGAATTGGCGACGTTTTTTTAGTCGACGTTTCGTTTTTTGAGGGATTTTGGGGAATTAATTTTTCAGGCTTTTAGAGGAAATTTGGTTGGTCAAAGGGGACTTCGTTTTTTCCATTTTCATCTAGCCACCTCGTGCCGAGCCCTGTTTGTAATTTTATGAAAATTTAAACTAGCTTTGAGAAGAAAAAATTGCGAGGCATGGCTGCGGCTGCACTCCCTTTTCTTAAAAATTTAAGGTTACATGCCCACGAACAGGGCTTCTAAAAGTTTCTCATAGTTCGAGGAATATTCTTACTTTTGCATCGTATTAGGTTGAAACATAGGTCTGGCATCAAAAACTGCAAAAAAAAATCATCAAATGTTCAAGCAACCATTTCAATCTTTGAAATATTTGTTCTGTTGCTTGCAATTTACGTGTGTTTTATCATGCATATCCAAAATTCTAATCTAGACAAAATACAAATTCGAAAAAAGAAAGATCACAAATTTCGTAGGAATACAGGATTAGAATATAGAGCTTGTGCTAACTGAGGAACTATCTTAGGAAGATCAAGTTAGCACAAATTCTTCCCATTGAAAAAAGTAGGTCATAAATCTTAAACTAGAATTTCAGCATATTCAGCAATCGAAAATCAAACAAATGAATTTTGAGAGTTTGTGTTTATCAGCCTTCATCGATTTCAAAAGAGCTTACAATTTCCCAAGATCTTCGGTGCAATTACGTTCCAACCTGATATAAATGAATGACAAACTCACTTTCTTTTTTTGGCGTTTCCGTGTTTTCGTCCGTAGTTGACTGAAACAAAATTTTATTTCGTATAAATGCCTAACATTAAACGCCTGAAACCTCATCCTACTTTCCACCCACCTTCCTACTATACTGTCTGAATAGAGGGTCGTTGAGCAATTTTTCAAGTTTTTCTACGTCTTCACGTACGTCCGCACTTTCGGCTCGCTCACGTAGCTCACGCAAAACACGGAATACCTTTTCTTCCTCTGTAAAGCGGACGTAATAGAAGGTTTGGATTGACTGAACGCATTGCAGACATTGAATCTTTTCGTATGCGTGCCTGTCGAGAAGATAAATTTTTTTAATTGTAAGAAAAAGTCGTATTGCTGCCACAGCAACTTGTGCATTATCTCGGTGAACCAAGAGTGATGGAGAATAGGAGCGGAAAACGGTCCTCTTGACGCTCTCCAGCGCTTCCCGTACCCTGATTGGTCAGTACACCTCGGCTGTGATTGGCCAAACCATGAGTAAGGCAGAAGTTAGCGAAATTCAACAGGCTATCCGCTATAATATGCTTTCTATGCTCTTTTTGAACCGAGAAGTGTGAGCAAACATAATTACTTCACACTCTCTAAAGAACTAGGAAAAGTTTATCGCCTTTCAAATATCATTTACACAACATTTTAGCATGCGAAGGACTGGGGTTTATGGGCAAGGATGGAATTCTTTGTTTACGATGATCCGCTTGTTTATGATGATCTGCTAGAATTTCTCAACTTCTCTTTCTCTTTCTACAGATACTTAATAAGTCACTACTTTACAAGTGATTGTGGTCATTTCGCTGAACGTTATGCTCAAATCTGAAAAGTTGTCAGGGTTTTCACATTTATTATATGTGCAGTGGGTTAGAAACAGATAGAATTTTGTTGTTTACAAAAATCAAAAAAAAACCTCTTCCAAACCTATCAAAATATCTACAAATGAGCACAGCATAAAAGTGTAAGCCGTGGTTTTGCTAAAAATTGCGCCATGTTTTTTCAAGCTATAGCTCAATCCGAACGTCTATGATAATTTTTGAATTACTACTGCTTTTCTGGGAATAATTTTGGCGCGATAAATTTTGTTTATTTTCATAATTCTTTCAATTATATTCATATGAACAATTTTAAAACTAACCCTAAGAATAATCCAGTTTTTACCTCTTGGAAAGAACAAATAGCTACTAATACAATAAACAACCTAATATATACTCACCCGACAAACTGCACATCAGCGGCGGACATGGGCAGATTGAGGGCACTGAAGATTCGAGGTTTAGGCAAACAAACAGCAAAAGTTTTGCAATCAATCGAAAACTGATAGCTTGGGAGAATTGAGAGCTCTGAGGGTATCGATTGCATGTAAGAATTTCTTCGAAACAATGGGAAACGGGGCGAGAGAAGCGAGAAGAACAAATTACAACGGCGGCCGATCCCAGATCTGGGCGCTTGACTCGGCTCTGCCACTAGTTGGGCGTCACATGCGAATAAACGAGTGCCACCTGGGAGCCATTCAGACGTCATTAGTCAACAAATGCACTAGTGAGCTGACGACGGAAGTTGGGTAATTTGAATTCGGATTTTGAGATGAGACACATATATTTGGAATCAGCTTCGAACGCTGATTCCAGTTATGCTGCTCCTAGCTGCGGCACATCATTCTGAAGCAAGTTATCAATTTTTTCCGAAAATTTGCATAATCTTTGACCTACTGGCAGTACAGTATCATCATCTAAGTGCTGATTTACGCGTTAAGTTTCTTGTTAGTTACAAAAGGCTCAATCTGATATTATTTTAGAATTCCAGCACTGTTTTAAGGCAGATTTCCATCTACAGGCAGCTCTTCAAACTCAAATACTATGCCAACCTCCTGCAGAAAAAGCTTATAACTTGCTTTAGAATAATGCGCCGCAGTTAAGGACAGTATATTTGAAATCAGCGTTCGAAGCCGATTACAAATATATGCGCCATATCTCAAAACGCGAATCTAAGTCACCTTATTTAACTTGTGAGCAAAAGATTTGCTGCTGGACAGCGGCGGTAACGCAGAAGTTTCGCGCAATCATGGAGTATGGGACTATAGTATACTTGGGACCAAATCGAATGATTATTCGATCATTCGAATAGATCATTCGAATGCGAATGATTCGAAAAGTCGAATATTCAATCAGATTTCGAATAAAATTAAGTCGAATATTCGATGGTCTCAATTCGATCATTCGATAGTCATCCAATATTCGAATCATTCGATGGACATCGAATATTCGAATATCTATCCGATTACCGTTGAATGATGGTACTCCATAAGCATAGCATGTCATTGTAGGAGTTTCTATCGAGCTGCAACCCTCAATGGGGAGTGTATATGTTTTGAGGTCCTGGCGCAATAGTTTATGCAGTAATCGTGAGGCGCCATTTCTTTCGCAGTATTTAGCTGCTACCGATTTTCACTATCTAAGTACGCCAGATTTTGATGGTTTTCTCAACTTCAAAACATAAACTTAGACTTTATAATGCACGGATTTATGACTCCAACTGAAAAAGTGAAAAATGAGTACCATATTCGTGATCAGCGCACCGAATAACCCCCTGGATCAAGGTTACAAGATTTCAAAATTTCGTAGATACGGGTGCACCACCCCCCCCCCCCCCCCTCCCCATCATCATGCCTACTGAAAGTACGAGCATAATGTACTCCGGAGGACATTTTTGCTGCCCCTCTTCTTTTGCACACTATTTCTCCTTCTCTGACCGAACTCAGAGTTATCTCTGAATTTCACGATAGATTGTAACGCGCACCAAACTCAAAGTTGTCGCAAAGCACAGCTGCGCGTTCGGTGGCGCTGTTTTTGTGCAGAACGATTTCGACGATGTTTTCCTACTAGGAGTAAAATACCGGTTACGGAGTGAGTCTCCTGCCATATCATCGCTTTCTACATTTGGTCCATTCAAGCACTTGCTTAGGGGTTAAGAAAGGTGCGCCTCAGCTCAGATATAACTCAGAGCTAAGTCAGAGTAGCTGCGAGTTTCGATCAGACTACTACCGACCCTGAAATTTCTCGATGTATTAAAGTTTTGAGTACGTTTCAAAAAAGCGCTTAGGAAATTGACTTGTTGACTGGACTTCTGTTAATGAGCCTGAGGTCTAGTGCACGCTGTTCTTCAGTCGCATTTGGAAAAGGTGATGTGAACGTGAATGTGAAGATCATCGTGATATCGTAGCAGTATTACTTCCGCTCGACATCGCAATTGAAGGCGTTATCAAGGTGATTGCACTAGTGAGTGGAAAGATTAGTGTTGGGTCAAGAAGTTGTCGTTTGTTGTAGTGTGAGGATTGGGATATGGTAGAACCAATCATTGTATAGTATTTCCAGCAGCGGTCTAGCTTATCGCAGTACCAACCAGAGGAAGATTGCTAACTGCCATGAATGCCGATTCAAAATTTGTGTGTATAGCACTTATACAGTTCAACAATGTGTATACTATGTGTGATCGTCGAATTGTGATTGACGACAATCGAAGCTCGAGTTTTGAGTGAACTTCGAACTTGTTTGTGCCAACTGGTCCTTTACTGAACTCTGGTCGTATTACGAAAGGAGAGCACAGAAATGTTCAGTTGAAGTTTACATTTTCTTTACCAATTCTTCACTGGCTGTTTTCTTTACTAATTCTTGTCGTCTCACGACAAGAGAGCTCAGAGGGTTTCAATATTCAACAGTGTTGATTCGAGTAAATGATGCTTTTATTAACTTCATGTTGCCTTACGAAAAGAGAGCTCAGAAGAGTTCAACTAATCAATAGCGAGAACCTTTACAACGAGCGCTTTACTACTTTCTGGTCGTCTTACGGAAAGAAAGGTTCAAACCAGTGAGAGTCTTTCAACTAATGCTTGTACTAAACCCTGGTCGTCTTACGAAAAGAGAGCTCAGAAAGGTTCAATTAACCAGTAAAAATACTGCTAACTAACGCTTTCACCACCTCCTGGTCGTCTTAAAAAAGAGAGCTCCGAAAGATTCAGCTAATCAGTGCAGATACTGCTACGCGGGTCTTAGGTTTGAATTCTCGTTCCTTAGGTGAAGGAGTCGCTGAGGAATTGCAAGGAAGTTCACTGGACGAAGCACCACTTTGCTGTGTATCAAGTGGGGCAGATGAGAACCGAGTAGAAGGCACAATATATACGAGGTGCTTGAAAGGAGATGTCGCCGATTGGCTACACTCCTTGGGCACGGGTACCACTCACCCTTGAGTGATTAGAGTGAGTAGAGTGAGTAGCTCACCATTTAGCCGACGGGGATCCCGAGGCTATGCAGAAAATACAGTTCATCAATGCGATGTTACAGAAAGCATCAACACCAGCTCCATAGCTCAAACTTTCAAATCGATAAAATCGACAAAAAGAATGGATATTTTTGCGAGCGGTTATTATTTTTGATTAGATGCTCACTTACCCCCTGTGGCTGCGCTCTACTGATTCGGAAGTTCGCGAAGTTTTACGATTGCGGATCAATATGAACGCAACTTGTGTCCCAGTCCAGTAGCTCGAAACTTGTAAAAAAATTGATCGATAGGGTAACTGATAATTTGAAAAACTAGTATTGTATTCGTAATCATCATGCTCACTCCCCCCCCCCCTCCCCCTCCCCTGTGCTAACTCCCAGCCCCATAGCTTGAAATTTGCAAAAAAAAACTGACGTTGATATCCAACAAGGAAAAGTATGCTGTAGTTATATAGAGGTCCGCTGGAGCTGTTATGGGGATCATTCATGTTTTTGAAGGACCAGCTGTAAAAAAATTTTTCCCAAAAAATTTGAAAAATCGAGCATTTTTTGCCTCAAAAATGCTTTTCGAGTAAATGACTTTGAAGTGTTCTAGTTCTGCACAGAAATGACCAAATCTTTGATTACTGGCAACATTGGCGGGGTAATGCCTTACACATCTTTTGGACCCATCATCCGGGCGTGGCGATCTCCGCAGAAGCGACGCCAGCTGCGAAAAGAGTTGCAGTAGAGGCAAGTTCGACAGCTTGTAATTTCTAAGCGCAAATCGCAAAACTCGAGTGCAGTTGCGGGTAAGAAGTTGACAGACTTTCCAACCAGATCACCCATGATTTGGACGAAATTCTTTGAAATGCACAAAAAAATGGCCATAAAAAGAAAAACTGTGAAATTTTTGTGGTTGAAAAGATTTCCCTTTTTGTGCAGATCAAACACGTCTTGGCATCGATAAAAGTCAGAAGGCGTATTGAAAACTTCAGGATTCCCTCTACTAAATAGTACAAAAAACTTGGCGTCAAAGTCCGACCGAGCGCCTTAAAAATGCGTTTGAAAATGAAATTTCCAAAAGTGCCCGGGAACTTTCTTTACAACCTAATAATTCATTGGGAAGCAGTTTTTTATGCTTCAACGAACAGCATAGTTCGCGCGCCGCCGCTAATTGCCGCGTGCGCGAGTCGCATAAGCGATGTCGTTGAACAGCATGACTACATGATCAGTTCTCAATGCAGGCGTAACGATATAGCACCAAATTAGGTAAGCGAACGAAAAGAGGCTAGTAGAAACAAAGTATGAAATATTATGAAAAACGTATGTGAATGCGAGGTGTAATAAGCATTTTTTTCAAAAATTTTGCAAAACTGGTAAATGAAGATGTGAATTCAAATGGCTCGTTTGCAGCGCACAGATGACCATACGGTATGAAACTTGGTAGGTACATGAACATGAGCCTGCGGGGCTTAACTTACAAGTTTTATTGAAAAATTATGTGACTGAAGGTTGTGGCAAGCTTTTTCTGAAAATTTCCCACTATGAAGAAAATGAAAAAATGGCTCGTTTGCAGCGCAGAGAAAACGTAATCGGCGAGACTTGGTGTGTATACGGGCAGTAGGACTAAGGAACAATGTATAAAAAATTATGAAAAACTTATGTGAATGAAGAGCCTGCTCAACTTTTTTCCAAATTAGGTGGGCAACTGCCCATGTAATGCCCACCTGAGGTGGGCAAAACTTTCAATTCACATAAGTTTTTCAAAATTTTTACATAAATCTGTTGTACACCTAAAGTTTACTACATAGTGAGATTTTGGTTCCGAAACTCCTCCTCTTGTCTTTGTTAGAGCCAAAAATTTCATCAGCAGCCTGGCTTTCTAAGATGGAAAGCGCGCCCCAATCAATCGATACGCGCGGGAACGGCGTCTTTCAGTCCTATGACTGCGCTACTTTGATATTTCTTTATCCTTCATTATTTTTCTTGTTTATTCTTCTTC